TGCTGCTGTTGGCAAAATGCGAACATTTGGCTCACTGTGGGGAGCATCCCCTCGCAAAAAGAGTCAAATGTGTAAAAATGATTGGCAACAGAGTACGTTGCTTCCCTAGGCTGCATAATAATTACGACTTTTTATGCGGGGATTTAGCTGCTGTTTTCTCAAAATGACCTATTACATGAGTATTGCTAATTCGTGTTTGGAGCCTACACTGCTATTGTTATTAACAGTTTATGCGCAAGCAGGATATTTGCGTTTTTGCAGAAATAAAGCTCTGATCTGTCATACACTGACCTCTCGATTATTAAATATTTCGAACATTTCCGGATGCATTTTTGATGTCTCAACATCCTCAGTGACCACCAGAAAGCCATAGTTATGTCTATTATCAACAAAAAGAAAATGACCCTGAAAGAGCTGTAAATTTTTTAGAGAAAAACACAAAGGCAATACATAAAAGTTAATTCAAAATTAGCCTTAAAAAGGCAAATAATTTTCAGAAAAAAAAAAAACATGAAACCAATAAAAAAGAACTGATAACGAGAATAACTTACATGGTCACGCGCAAATGAGCAAAAACTCATGTCGGGATCAAGCTTCTCGTTGTAATTAAACGCATCAAGCATGGGCCTCAACTGAAAAATCACTGAAAACTACTGCATCAGTAGAACGATACTGGCGAAATAAAGCTTTTTTTCCCACATTCATTTTATATTAACCGTTGTTTCATCGCAAATTATATTTGCGCTATCAGCATACTTAGCTTTCCAACAGCTGGTACAACTGAAGGTGGTGGTCAGCTTGCCGATGACCCTAGCATTCGTTTCAGTTTTTTCGCTTTTCTCCTTCCCCTTCGCTCCTGCCACTCCCTTCCTTTCCTTTTATTTCTCCGAAGAGTAATGTGGGGTGCCACTTTTGTTTATATGAGAGCTTCACTTCACAAAAATTATATAAATTTTAAAATCTAAACGAATTTTAAAATGCTTCAGAATGGCATGCCTTTTGTTTTGCAACAACTATCATCGAACTGATGTACGGTACATTCCATACGCCTGTTTCTTTTCGGTCGTATATGTCAAGATAGTCCTCGGATCTTACATAATATCCATTGTCTGCAACTGCGCCCCAAAAATTGCTGAATAAGTTATGCAGCTGTCCAACCAAAGGAGCTAGTATGTCCCTGCAAAATCCGAAAATAATCAAATTAAAAAAAAAAGATGCACAATAACCGACTGCAAACAGTCATCTATCAGATCAAAAGCAAGTCCGCAAGGACAATTGGTGTGAGTGCCTTCTAATGCTGCAGCGATTCTCCCAGGATCTGGCATAGTAACTACAGACGAAAATAAGGAACCGGTAACTGCACAGTACTTTTTCATTACTCATTAATCTACACTTTTTGGCGGAAATTCAAGTTTAATACTTGTGCTTGAGTCAGCAATAATTCATAATAGTAAAGCCGAAAAAATAATTGGTCAGTGTATCGACTGCCGGTGTGAAGATGCATTTTTTGCACAGTTCACCACAGGTTTCTGTCGCTAACAGCATCGGTTTTCCCGGCAGATGCTTCTAGCTAAAAGAATTGAGACCGGCAGTCACGATTTTCAGGAAATATTCTCCTAAAATTTCAGCTTTCTAGCTTTTCTGGTTCCCGAATTAAAAACTTACCTACCAAAAATTTTTGCGGGTTCGTACTTGAGAAAAACATGAGTATGATTGTCCATTTTGGGGTAGGAGGCTGTAAATGCGTGCAAATAAATTGACGAAGTTTCAGCTTAGCAGTTTTTCTAGGTCTAGAGATGAAAAATCGATACAGACCACGCACAGACAGAAATGCACATACAGTCACCTCTCGACAATATGCGTTTTTGCATTACATTCATACCAAAAGAACATCAAAAAAACGAAATTATACTAATACTGAACCGTTATCGTGGCATAACGAACCACAATGTAAGTACTTTATAAATAAAGCACTGGTATATCTTTACACATCAAAAACTTACAAGTTTTTTTGTATTGCTGTATCAAGCAAAAGCAGAAGAGTTTGTGTGTTATTTAAATGCACATCGCCATCGATCATTACAAGGAAATCGCTGCCCAATTCCAAGCTGTGCCTCCTGAAACAATTTCATTTCAGTGCCACCACATCCGTACGACAAAATTACTGTCAAAGCATCATATATGCATACTAAAAATTCTTATTTCTTAAGCAGTTTTTTGATAACTTCTATTATCATTACTATTACTGTATTTGTTTTTATTGTTAAAAGTTAATGACACTACTCTGTTTTATATCATTTTACATTACTCCCTACCAAATATTTCTTAGTTTTTATCACACAATTCAAAAAAGTTCAAGGAAAAATGAAAAAAATGTACAGAAACGAAGCCTGACGAAGGAGCAAAGTGTGTACTCACAGAACATATGAAAAGAGAAGGCGATGAACGTAGATGTATAAAGCAATAAAAAAAATTTTTTTGACGGGAATCAAGGGCGATTCACTTCACAGCCGATGGCAATACATGGAAAAGTTGTCAGCTAAAATAATTAGGCATAAGCAAGCGACCGGATAAATTTGAAATATATAAGTTTTGTAGGGGAAAATACAAGCAAACATATGAGATATACAGAAGTATCGATCGGCTTGTGAAACTAAACAATCCCTAAGGAAAAAGAGCTGATCAAGTAACAAGACTGACAGGCAACAGACACAAAACGAGTGCGTTCAAAAACCAGTAAGAAAGCCGCTGACATATTGGGCCCATTTAGTAAATGTTTGGAGTTTTGTGTGGATACGGAAAGCACAAGATCGCAGACGGAACCGGACTATGAATTAACAGCTGTTCCAGATATTCCTGGTAGGACAAAGAGCAGAACCTCGATAGCATCCAGCAAAACGGGATCGAAATTGGAAATAAAAAAAAAAAAGAAAATTCGAAAAAAACCAATACTGCACCAAAAAAAAACGGAACGAACACGGAAAACGCACGCGCTTCACGCTCTCCAATATCGACTGAGCTATCGTCGTAGATTACTGATCGATAATGCTCTTTTGCTTCCTTCACAAAAATATCGGCCTGAAAAACTTGCCCATATAATTTATGCAGCCATGCATCGCCATCTTCCAGCGCCACGCCTGCTTCCTCTGTCTGGCGCTTCCCATCCCAATCATTTTTATGCGTTTTGTGCTGTGTAACAGCAGTACAAAACGCATATTGTTACGGTTTGTCTGTGTGTGTGTGTGTGTGTGTGTGTGTGTCCGCAGCAACTTGTCCGCAACTTTCAACT